TATATATATCACTGTCCGAGGGCCGCTGTAGAATAGCAACGAGGATGTCAGCCGACCAACACTTGCTACCCGGTCCCTGGTTGCGGCGATTTGCACTGCTGGCCAGCTAGGAATGAACTAGCACACAGTACAGTACAGTCCTCTCTCGTCTAGTTAACATTTTGCCGTGTTACTTGCTGATCCATTAGAAAGAAAGCTAGCTGGACATCGGTTTTGAAGCCTCTTTGGTCACGGAGCTCCCTCCATCTCTTCAACGCCTGACTGAGGTTTACTCTTGTTTTTCCTCTTCTTTTATCACTCTCCTTTTTGTGCATCCTCGCCTCTACAGACAGATTAGCTCGTTTTCTTTTGGGAGGCCGTTTTTCACTTGTCTCCAAACTTTGTCCGTCTGCCATTGTGCTCCTGACTCAACCATAACTACTCATGCCCCGGCCAGTTCTTCATAAGCACCAGCTCCAGTCCCTGATTGGCTGACCGATCAGTTGGGCAGTACATGACGCATTTCCTGCCATAAAGCAGATTTTTTCCGCGAAAATTTGTCCCCGGTGGCAGAAGCTTATTGCAAAGATTGCAAAGCCATTAAGTAACCTATGTAAACGCTGATAGTCTGATTTTACTTTGTATACTACCCTGTGCAACCCACATTATTTTCATAATGATATATATAGGCAAAATGCTGCCTGTTGCTTCTTTAATTCCAGGCCTGTAATCGGGCTTTAATTAAGCAAAAGTATGTTTTATCCGATCACTCGATTAATTGATGAAATATTCGATAGAATACTTAATTACCAAAATATTCGATAGCTGCAGCCCTAAAGCCTACAACTACGTACCAGTCATTTAGAACTGAAGAAGCTTCTTGGATGTGAGGCGAAACGTCTTCAAGAATCCGAAGCAAGTCCAGTTGCCTCCGATATAGCACTTATGATTACCATGACCTGGATGACTGAGAATCTTCATGGATAATTTGCCTTCAGTTTAGCAAATACTGATTTATTTTTTAACAAATATTGATCTAACTTAGCATTTTCTAAAACTAGTCCATACCCAGGGATGTGTTATGTATAGAGGAATAAGAAATCAAAAACAGTATATTAGAGGAGATGCAAAATCAGAGCACTGTAAATGCACTGTGTAATAAATATTAATGTAAGACAGACAATGCACACTGTATTTCGAAACATGCTTTATGGCAAAATACGTTGAGCATAGTTTTGGCTGAAGGCATGGAGGCACGTGTGTGCGCGGGCAGTGTCACACCCATGTACACTGTATTTAGAAACATGCTTTATGGCAAAATACATGGAGCATAGTTTTGGCTGACGGCGCGGAGGCACGCACGTGTGCGGGGCCGTGCACAGGTACACACATACACACGCAACACGGAGAAAGAATGAAAGTGCAAAGTGCACAGCGCAATGTTTACTTTGTAATGTTTGTAGGCTAATGTCAGTAAAGTGAAAATATGTAATGGCTGGCTCGCGTACACAGACACAGACGCGCGTACACAGACACAGACGCATGTTTGTTCAGTAAAATAATTACCTTAGTCTTCAGCAAGTGTTGGTGCTTGAAATTGCATGTCCCAAGTGGTCTCCGCATGTGCAGCTCGCGCTGCTAATGGTGCTCACAGTATGAATGGGTAGTGGAAACGCGAATATAAACAGTAGAAATGTGGGAAAAATGCAAAAACAGCATCATGGCTGAAGATGAAAGCCTATGTGCAAGTTCAGAGAAATAGGTCAAAGCAGTGAGGAGGAAAACAGATGATGACAAAAGGAAGGATGGAGGGACAGAGGTTTCTCCATTTAATAGTAGGATGTTCTTTGCAGAGAATTCCCAGTAGACACTGACGATTTTTTGGAGACTATGGCCGCCATAGTCTCGTCAATTTATGGGAAACAGTGACATCTGTACAGATGTGAAGCCCTGACTATATCTGACTGATCTTTAATGAAAGCTGTTGTCTTGTATTTTTTTCCTCTGAAAATATTAACCTCATAGTCAGACACAATTTATTTAGCCTCTGTAGGTCTGCTCAGCTGCTCTGCAGCAGCAAACTGATATGATGCTGATTTACATTTACATGACAGTTCATGTCAAATGGAGGTTGAACCATGAACCAAAATTACAGAAAGCCTGTAAAGTATTTTAATAATTGAATCCATCATAACTGAAACAATTGGAGACTGAGAACAAACTGACATGAGTCTGATAATATTTTAATGATTGTAATATATGTAAGTAATGCCTGCTTTATTGAGTTATAGTCCTGTCCTTATTTACACACATTTCTGATTTTAAATGCTGTAGCCTGTTATATAGAGATGTATTAATACATTTTTGTTCAGTCACCAAAAAAGGCTAAACATATGATTTATATCTTGTTATCTGCAGGAACAGATGAGAAGGCACTATTCATCAACTTATATGACATATATATGAATATGACAACAGCGATAGTTGACCGTTTCCACGGCAATGAGTAGAAAAGTCTTGAGGGCTGTCTATCAGCCGCTTGCACTTACTGTCCTCACAGACTTTACGTGATGACAGCAAAGACGTCACACTACATACAACTGAAGTCCATGGGGGCTCAGCCTGCAAATCTAGAGGGTGGACATTTGGATTCAGCCTCCAACTTGACCGCAGCTTGCTGTCACTGCCTCCTCCTGCAGCCGCCTGCTTTCGTCCACTTTCTAGGCCAGGCGCAGATAGAAACATTAAACCTAGCTCGCCCTGGTGAGTAAGCTGCTTGGTTTTGAGCCGTAAAACCTCTTTACCATTGTTGACTACGTCATAATTTTGAGCTCCGTTACCACCGTCAGTGCCTGTGTCCACCAAAGTATTTTAAGAACAATTTTGCAATGGGAATACTGCATATTTAAGCTGCGCTACAAATGCCGGCAGCACACCGAGGTGCTGGATCTTTTTTCTAAGTGCTAAGCACTGAAAAATATTCAACTCTGGGGAAAAAAAACGCTGCACTCATCACGATCACTTTGGTCTGTTCTGTTACAGTCGAGGAGGGACATATACTATGAAGACCATCTGACACATCTTGCATGTACAGATGCTGAACAACAACAATAATGGAGGAGAAATCAGTTAAATTATTATTATTAATATTATTAGTGTTATATTTACTCTCATGAACCCACACAGACCGGCCGATCCATCCTCTCTACTGCCCGCTTCAGCCTTTCTCGCATCCAAAGCAAGTACTCTACCTTGTGCTGTCATTTACTTCAGTGGATATTCCATAACATAGCAATCAAAGCGTCTCAGCTCAAAACAAAACAAAACAAGCGCAGTGCCTCCAAAGTGCTCTGAAACGCTCTCAGCTGGGCGTTTCCTGAGGAGCGCCAGGTGCCTAATATACAAAGACTTGTGTGGATTTCCTACTGAAACATGGCGTACGCTTAAATCCAGAAAAGGTCGTACACACAAAAACATCCAGATGTATGAATCTGTGCATACGCATGAATCCAAGTATATTTTCTTTGTACATCCCAATCAACGTGGAATTGAGTGCACATGTTGGAGTACCCGACCCCTTCCTGTCCACGCCCTCATCTAAATATGCAAATCATATTTAAATGAGCCCTGCACCTGAGATTCCTCTCTCTGCATGATTAGAAAACTAAAACAAAAGAATGAGTTAGACAGGAAAAAAGAAAAACTTCACAGAATGCGAAGTGGAGACGCTACTCACTGAAGTGGAGGCGTGCAAAAATGTACTTTTAGGCACGCTGTCCTCCGGCATCAATACTAAATGCAAGAGGAGTGAGTGGGAGAGTGTGTGTATTTTAATTGAGAAGTATGCGGCACGCGTCCTCTCCATTGCTGCGTCGTTGAATCTGTGATCGATCTTGGGGTCTATTTAAGAAAGCCACGGACGTGCACTCAACTGAATAAGTTACACCTGGTTTGACAAAGCCGCGCCACCTCAGCCTGGCTTGGTGTTCGAACAACCAATTAAGCCAGGATGGACTTAGGGGGATTTGTCCAGCCTCGCTTTTCCACTTATCCTGGATTGGTTAATTCTGCTTTCGAACAACAGGCCCCTGGTGGCACGCAGTGTGGAGCAGGCAAGAAACCAGTGGAGACCAACAGTGGGCAGATAACATGTTTCCATACTCTAACATGGCTGTCAGCAAAGCAGTTAACATTAACAACACAAATTTCATCAACTCTAAATGGATAGCTCTAACAGCCCTGAAGCTTGCTGAGTCTGTGGAGTGCTGGACTAAAAGGAAGGCCTTGTCTTTCACATCTTTTCCTTTCTTAGTTACCGGTTAATGGGTGCTGGCCCTTTGAAAGAAAAATTAACCGAAATTGACATCCCTTCTAGTGACAGCCCTTTATGTATGTATTGATGTGTAATGTAGAGTCCAGTGGAAAGTTTGACCTATAATAGTTCATGTTTGTTTGTTTATGTTCCACCTCAGATTTTCAGTCGTTTTATAATCTGCTGAAGAATAGTCGTGGTCATGTCAGTGAGCGCTCAGTCTTCAGTGAAAGGACAGAAGACTCCTCTGCTGTTCAGTACTTCCAGGTGAGAGGAACACACACACACACACACACACACTCTTCACCCAGCTCTCAAAAAAGCTTGTTGTAATGATGGAAGTATAAAGAGTTGACTTCAGGCTCCTGTTTTATTTTTTTCATATAGTGCCTTAATAATGCCCCCCATGATGACTTTGTTCATGGCTGACTATCGACACTTTTACAACTGTCATTAAGAATAGAAATGTTTAAAAAGTTAAGTTTTGGAAACTTTTGCATTATTTTTCTATTTTAAAAAGAGTATGAGTATGTTATAAAGTCCAGCTCGTACAGATACGCTCTACAAATTACATGTCCTGTGTTCTCATCTGAAATGAAAAAATAAATTTGATGTTGGTCTCATAAAGATGTTCCCTGTCTGTGCATACAATTTAGAGCTTTATAATTAATCATTAAAAGATTGCAGTCTTGATTCAGGCATGTCCCGATGTCATTAGTGAGGGACGTCCATTCTGCCGTCTTTGCTTTGGAGTAGGGCAGACACCAGACCCAACCATCACAGTGGGGGCCCGACGCACTTTTATATCAGTGGCGTGGCACAGGGGCGCCAGAGCTTTCCCAACTCAATGTGTGGGCCTTTTATGTATTTATTCATTTATTTTTCCATTATTATACTTTTTCCCTCCTTCTTCTTTCCCCTTTTCTCTTTGTAAATGATTGAGGCTAGGATCTTGGTGGGCTACCCCCAGACCCTCAGGAGGTGGTTTGCCCATCCTATTCATTCATTCCTATTACCATCCTATTATTCTGTTGTCATTGTTGTTATTGCCAATCGGCATGGGGGAGACTAGCATCCATTGGCCATGTAGTGCCAGCCGCACCACCAGGCAACTCCTGCGAATGGCTGTGCCCAGGGCTGCACCCACACACTAGAGGGTTTTGTGTGTCTGTGTCTGTGTGTGTGAGAGAGTGGAGAGAGAAAGGGAAAAAAATAGTAATAATAAATACATAAATAAAATATTAGTTATTAAAAAAAAAACAGTTTAAATTAAAAATAAAATTAAAAATTAAAGCTTTGTTTCCACTGAGGAAAATTGTTTCAGCTTACAGAAACAGAAAGGAGGTCTACGTGTTGTTACAGTTCTGGGGAGGTGAACGTTAGGCTACGGCATAGGTTACTGCGTAAGCTCTACGTCAATGTGGAGAAGTATAAGAAGTATAAATTCCCTATTAGCGTAGCTGAAGAACTTGTGAGTGAGTGAGTGAGTGGGCCGGAGCTGTCCACAGAGTGTGAAAGAGGAGAGGTGCACACTGGTATGCGTTACGTAATGCAGCTTGATCCTGTATCGATAAAAACGGTATTGTCTAAATCTGTATCTTGCTTGAAAATGTATCGATAGATCGTATATAGTCGTTATATTGCCCAGCCCGACTTTGGAGCATTGCATATTTAGAATGAGTGCTCATAATTGTCCCTTCTCACGGCACTTCAAGGCTGACAGACTCTTCCTAATCCTTAGGGCTGCAACTAGCGATTATTTTCATTGTGAACTAATTATATCTTTGATTAGTCGACTAATGATTTTTTCGAAAAATTTGTTAAAATGTCGGTCTGTCTCCTCCAAACCCCAAAATTATGTCATCTAATGTACATCTTTCGTACTCACGCCAAAGGGTTTTAGTATACCGTCATGGGAGAGTGTGTAAAGCTGGCAATATTTGTAGGGATGTCCCGATCCAAGTTTTTCACTTCGGATCTGATACCGATATTACAGCCTTGAGTTTTGGCCGATACCAATCCGATCCAAGCGCGTATTATACATATTCACTTATTTTGTTGTCAGTCATGTTAGAAAAGGTTTGATCAAGCAATATTACTCTAACAAGAACAACTACTTAATCGGGTTAGTTAGAATGATCCACAACAGTTGGTATGAGAAACTGACCCGTTTATTGTTAACAGGGTTAAATAAACAAACTTTAAACTTGAACATTAACATTAAATAAAAAATATAGCTGGTTTGCTTTGGCTGCTTTGGCCCCTTAATAAATAGAAAATAGATTAACACAAGAAATCTTTAAAATGTCTAACAATAAAATTAAAATAGCAGCAAGACTCCACACACTTGTGCTTTCCTCCCCTAATAATTAAAAAATAGATTAACACCACAAGACATTGTTGGCATTTAACAAACAATGCAGCCTTTCCTTTTCAGTTATTTTAGAAGTGTTTTTGTAGTCCACCCATGGCTCCAATTTCACTAATTGTGCCCAAAACAGTGCCATCAGTGCTCTTTACTTAAACAGTAAGAGTGTAAACCAAATAAAAATATCACTCTCAAAAAGCCAGAGCAGAAAACAAATAGTCAGTTAACTAAGTTGACCGCTACTCTTCCTATCCTCCGTGTGTGTCTGCCGTCTGCATGCTTGCCTGGTGGATTGATAGTAAGAGCTGGAGCAGATCACTGGAATGGACTGCTTGACTCATGGAGTGCTGGGCTGGCCGAAAAACCTGGATTGGACTCTGTGAAAAACTGGGTTGGACTTCTTGGATCTGCATTTTTCCATGCAGTCCGATCCAATGCCGATGCCCGTTTTTTGCTAATATCGGCGGCCGATACTAGCAAAAAACATCCCTAAATATTTGAACGTAAGAAGCTGCAATAAACGTATTTTGGGGCACTTTTGTAGTACTTTTCTATGAAAAATGACTCAAACCAATTAGTCGACTACTAAAATAGTCACAGATTATTTTAATAGTCGATTAGTCATCGATTAATTGACTAATCATTGCAGCCCTACTGATGCTACCACTTTGCTAATACTCAACTTATGAAATTAGCAGCTAGCAAAGCTATCTGTTAGGGCCTGCTGTGTCGCCACAAAGACTGTCCAATCTTTGGTCAGAGGTATTTGGGAGTTGGGCACAAGCCTAGCCCATAGCTTTTATAATGGCACATGGGTGCAACAGTTAGCACTGTTGCCTCACAACAAGAGGGTTCCAGGTTTGTACCTGCCAGTGAAGTTTTAATGTTCTTATCATGCCAGCATGGGTTTTCTCCAGATTTGCTTCCTCCCTCAGTCCAAAGACATTCTGTAATCTAAATTGCCCATAGGTGTGAATGTGAGTGTGGTAATGTTGTCACAGTACCAAAATTGGGATCCACGGTACAATACCAGTGAAAGTATCACGGTTCTGAGTAGTATCACGATACCACAGCAGAAATTAGGCAGATGTGCCTTTTGTCATTTATAAAAACTTTTCTATAATACATCACTGATATTTCAATGGAATAAATTACTTATTGACTTATTCATACTTCAAAAACAGCATCAATAAGTGATTAAAGTAGGGGGGATCAAAATAAAATAAATAAAATAAAAATCAACCAGCCACCCTCCTCCTCTGCCACAAAGAGAGAAATGTCAACATTTCTCCTCTGACACGTCACATACCAGTGTGCCGCTACAGCTTGGCTGTTCAGGTACTCCTAGGCAGTCGTGACACCAACAAAGAGGACATTGCTGGACCTGGAGCCAGGCTTCTCGGTCGCCGGTAAACTGCGTTATCTTGCGGTGGCCATAGTGCTCCACCGTATTCCTGTCTGTGACCCCTGTTCAATGCAGAACCGGCAGGATTCGCTTTTTGTTTCTGCTGCTGATTGAAATCTGTACTCGCACAGCGTGCTCCTGAATGATTTCTTTTGCTCGCACAAAACTATTTTTATTTGCAAATGCGAGTAAAATGCTCGCACTGTAGAGCTCTGTGGAAAACAAATCACTGTAGCATATATAAAAAAATCTAGCCTACAAGTAAAAATAAATAAATAATAACTTTCACTGCTTAAAGATACTCAATAGCTCAGCTAATACCTGAAATGTCACTGGAAAACAAACCACTGCAGCAGCATATTGAGTGCCAGGGGCCTCATTTATAAAAGAGTGCATAGGATTCATACTAAAAGTTGACGTGCGCCCAAAAGCTGAAAATGGCGTGCGCCAAAAAATAATCTGATTTATAAAACCATGCGCACGCACACTTGCACGCAGCGTTCTCTTTATAAATCACAGACCTCCTGGAGTTGTGCGCACCCAGATCCGCCTCATATTCCGCCCTCTACACGCCCTAGTTCAACCATAAATGGTCATGCAAATCACCTCATGAATGCTATCTGCATATAAATAAGCCGGCATGTGAGTGTTCTCTCGTTGTGTGAGTCACGGCGACAGGTGTGAGAAACGAACCAAAAAACGGAATTTCTCTGAGACTGAGCTAGAGACCCTTTAACAGGAGGTGGAGGACTGAAGAAAGATTTTATTTGGTGGCCACAGCAGCAGGATCACTAATAAAAGAAAGCGAAAAAAAAGTGGCTGATCTAAAGGTAGACCAAATATTTCTACTCCTTTACCAACATGTAGTTAATGTGTTGCTTTTAAATTTGAGGATGTTTGTGATTCTTTATGTGCGACATAAAGAATCACATTTATTAAAGGTGGAGACAAAATGGAGTATGTGCCAGTGCCATCTTGCGCAATTACGCACGAGGGTCACCGCAGTATTTATATGTTTATGGCAATTAGTCTGATCAGACATCCGGCCTGAATTACAGCATGAACCAGTGGTATCCCTGTCCCAAAATACAACGTGTAATTTGAAATACAATTCAAAGATGAAATTGTAACAGGCGAACACGTTTCTTCATGCCGGTTTTGTCATGAACAGCACATGTCTAAGTAGGGCTGATTAATTGAGTGTAACGGTTGTGCTTAATGGCTGTATTTCGAGACATGTTAAATACACTGAAAATATTTAGCTAAATAAATAAATATATTCCCTGCAGTCACGCCATCCTCTCCCCCTCCTGCGCTCACAGAGTGGACAAGGCAGTGCGGATTAAATATGTATTTAGAAAGAATTTCAATTCAGGATTTGAGTTGGATTTTACAACATTTTTATGAAACAATTATCACTCACCCCAAGCGCAAAATAAGGCTGCTGGATTTAATTTCAATGATAACGTGTATCTAAGGTGGATATAGCGTGACATTAAATTTGGTGAGACATCAGTAAAAATTTGACTCCACTTCTCCACCTCGCCGTCTGCGTCGCCACTTCCCAGTGTCTTCCAAAATGTGCACACGCATGACTCAGAGTTTGCTTACAGGTGCGCACATTCTCCCGCCAAGTTTATTTTTATAAATCACAACCTTTGCGTGGTAAGTGGCGTACGCCACTTTCAAGCCCCATTTTGTGCGTAAGCAAGCTTTATAAATGAGGCCACCTGGGGCACTCACCCTCTTGCGATTGGAATTGGACTTATCCCACAGTAGTGGTACTGTGAGGTACCGCGGTCTACCGTTGGTACCAGTATACCGTGCAGCACTTGAGTGTGGATGGTTGTCTGTCTCTATGTGTCAGCCCTTTGATAGTCTGGTATGTCAGTATGTGTTGCCCTTAACCAGTTGTACCCTGAGACTATAGTATGAAGTTCCTGTGAGCTGTAAATTCACTACTTCTAAGCAGAAGGCAAAACATAATGTTATCTCAGAGCCTTATAATGCAAAGTCTCTCCTCCTATGGGCTGCTGCCTCTTTCTCACTTAACACTGGGTCTGGGTCTGCAGCTGCCTGTACTGGAGAGCAGCATAAAAAAGAGGGGAGCTTACACTGCAGCTAAATCTGGGGACTGGCATGTCACCAGACATACATTCACACTAACTGACAAATAAATAAATAAATGACTGCTTGACTTAAAGAATGTCAGTTGACTGAGGGCGTCTGCAACTGTAGCCCTACTGCTTATGTCAATGGGCCTAATTCACCAGTCGTTGTTAAGAGGAAATTTCATCTTAAAATCTACTTGTGCAATTTTCACAAAGATTTTGACATTCACCAAAGTTTTCTTAATTGGGATTTGCTCTTAGGTAAAAACAGAAGCTACACACACTCAAGAACACACTTATGCACATTTTGTGCTAACATGTTTGTGAAAAATAATTGTTTATTGCATTTTCTTCAGTTGAACAGTTGTCTAATGATAAAGGATTTCAATTGCAGTGGTAGTTTTACAATTTATAATAGGCAATAATACATTATTTTGATTATTTTACAAAATGTTTTGGTCTTTTACAATCAACACTACACTAACAATTCATTTCACATCAGTTAATAGGAACCATGTATCTAATAATTAGAGACTGATCAGGCTAGATCATATCACAGGCGGTTCAGGACAAAAACTGACAAAGCAGAGTAAGTTATTTAACTTAAAGAAAAATTGTGTATAAAGTTCCACCTTCTCTGGCCATCTCTGTCTAATTCTTAATTCTGACTTTATTCTTAATTCTTTAATTTTCTTCTTCAGTTTCTGTGTGTGCACATAGCCCTGTAGTCTAATGCCCTGTTGTGGGGATTTACAGACTGTTTATGCTAATTAGGATCAACACACATGCTTTTAACTTTGAGAACAAAGAGATTCATCATTGTAAATAAACACAGACGTGAACAATTCTTTGGTTTAAGAACACTTCATGAATCTGACATAGACTTTTCTTAAAACCTTTCTCAAAAATAAATTTAAGGAAAATGCTAGAAGATATTGGTGACCTAAGCAAAAGTTTGCTTACATTGTGACTCTGTGTCCCTCTGACTCAGCTGTCAATCAAACACTAACCTGCCTACTCACAGGCTTGGAATAAATGTTTTTTTTTTTTTTTTTTTTTTTTCATTTTATTTATTTTTTTGTAATTGATAAAACAGCACATTTGAAAATCACGTTAATCTAGTTACAGTCTTATATTTTACTTTTTGAAATGTGAGTATGCTTTTGTATTTCTTTAATACAATACTGACCTCATATACAGTAGATTTAAAAAACAACAACAACTCACCAATGTGTTCATATTTTCTTCTCGGTGTAGTTTTATGGCTACCTCTCCCAGCAACAGAATATGATGCAGGACTATGTTCGGACAGGGACTTACCAACGAGCTATTCTCCAGAACCACACTGACTTCAAGGATAAGGTAATCTTATACTGCCAGAAACATCACACAGTAATCATTTCATTAGATTTACATTTACACTTGAGCAATAATCTGTTGCTAGATTGTAAACTGCTCGGTTTTCCCTCACCTATGTTAAAAAATGAACTGATGATGGCACTGCTTCTTAGTTTAAATCTTAAGATAGACCAAAGCATGACCAACATTAACCGAAGCTGCTAAACGCTAGTAAACACTAATCAGTCTTTAATAGTTGACCCTTTACTCAGCTCCTCCCTCAAACAATAGATGTCCAATCATAGCAACTGTACAAAGCACATGGCCCTGGGAGAGTTTACATGAAAGTGTCTTTTCAGCCTAAGCATGGTTAATGTCCATATATGTGACAGTCTTACAGGGTTGACATTTTCAAATAAGTCAGCTGGAGATATTTTTCAACGAGCTGTAACGGAAAATCTGGCATATAGTTGATAGACACAAATAGGGAGCAGCTTTTGTTGACTTCTATCTAAAATCTAAGTTTGCCACCTGTCAGATGTAGCAACAGCATCTAAGGCAGTGTGGAGCATAGTGACCAATCAGTTATTAAGAGACCCATTTCTTGGTGTTTTGATTCATGAAGTCACTGTTTACTTGCTTCTGTTTTGTGGAGGTGGTGCTGGATGTTGGCTGTGGCTCGGGGATCCTCTCTTTCTTTGCAGCCCAAGCTGGAGCTAGGAAGGTCTACGCTGTGGAAGCCAGCACCATGGCACAGCATGCTGAGGTACACACACACACACACACACACACACACATTCTGGCGCTCTATTCTGACCAATCCAAGGCCGGATTTTCAGGCTTGGTGTAAAGGTTTGTTCTACCTTCCAGGTGCTGGTGAACAGTAACCGTCTAGGGGAGCGAGTGGTCGTCATCCCAGGGAAGGTGGAGGAGGTGACGCTGCCTGAGCAGGTTGACATCATCATCTCAGAACCCATGGGCTACATGTTGTTCAATGAACGCATGCTGGAGAGCTACCTGCATGCCAAGAAGTTCCTCAAACCCAATGGTGAGGAGGTTTCAGCCCAGGAGAAGGTTGTAGGATGGAGGATGAAAGATTTCAGCAGATTATCCATCCATCCATCCATCCATCCATTTTTTAACTGGCCATGATCCAATTAATGTAGTGTCTCTTTAGCTAACATCAGGTACCTCATCTCTCATCTCCATGTCCTCTCCTCCTCTGTGGTGTCCATGTTCATCTCCTGTTGACAGATTAACAGAACAGAACATAAGCCATAAACACACTCATTTCCATCCATCCATCCATCCATAATTTTTTTTAACTTGCCAGGATCTAATTAATGTAGTGTCTCTTGTCCCCTGCACTTCCCGTATCTGTGTCCTCCATCCCCTGCACTTTTTACAGCCATTACAACCATTCAGTTCATTTTTAACATGTGGTAACGTGTTTTTCCCGAGCCGTCTTTAAACGCACCATGAGTAGGCGGCGCCAGGCGACATACACATGCTCTTGTTTTGTGATCTGAATCAATGGCACAGCCACAGAGGAGACGTGTGCCACTGGGCAGTGCTGCTGTGTGTTAACTATGTTAAGCATACCAGCCAGCAAGAAGCAAAAAACGTTGCACGGTTTGTTCCAAACAAACCGTGTAAGTTGAATAATGCTGTTACATGTAGATAATGTTAGCTAAATGATGACTAATTAATGGATGCCAATATATCAAGTTAAGCTAGTTAACAAGAATACTAATGTTATTGTTACCTATGTTAAATCACTTGCTAGCTAGTTTCATGCTAGGAATAAACCCACTCCTCCTTAATTTCTGTGCAGAACTTGTTCTCACTATTGCTTTGCACATATTTTTTTTTAATCGTTATTGCCACAATAGAAAGAGCAGGGTCAGGGAAGAGACAGTGGACCAGAGGCCAGCAAGGATGATCATGCAGGGTCTTCACAGGTGAGAAGAGATTCTAACTGGCTGAGAGAAAATATCTATAGCACAAAAGTGACTTGAGGTTAATTTCCTCAGCTATGTCACCACTACTATTCTTAATTGTATTTATAAATTTTGCTTTGCACATTTATTATCTATATTATTGCAATAGATAGAAGAGGGACAGGGAGAAACCAGGCAGGTATCAGGACAGGGACCTGAGAGCAGCACCAATTGACCTATGGCTAAGCCACGCCCCCCTCCACTCACTCGGACAAACTATCAACATTGAGTGACTGGCGCTATGGCAGGTGTCACAGTACACGGCATTTCGCAGGAGGCAATTGATGATTTTTGGAGACATAACGATCCGATGTCATTGAGAAGTAACCAAAAGGGCCTAAACTATGCATTGGAGGGATATTAATCATTGTATTGTTGAGCAGGTTGATGAAAAGCTTAAATTACAAGCCAAAATTTACAGGTCAAGGTGTACGCTTGTGAACCGCATCTCGTTGCCATCGCCATCAAAGACAACAAGTTAAAGTGCCACTGAAGTTAAGGTTTTTGGCTCAGAATATGAGAAAAGGATAACGGTCTTTTTACCATTTCTCTCTCTCTCTCTCTCTCGCTCTCTCCCTCCCTCCCTCCCTCCCTCCCTGTGTGTGTGTGTGTGTGTAGAAAGCAAACACATGGTCAATTGACAAGTGAATAACAGCCTCTGGGTTACCACACAACTAAGTCAGCCAACTGTAGTTATATAACATTAGCACTAGACTAATTAGTTAGCTATTTTAACCAAGCTAGTTTAGTGCAGAGTCCATCTCATCCTGTGTAATAGAAATCAGTATGCTATAACTGATGTATAGCGCTCAAGATTAACGTTGGGAAGCAGCTGGATTTGAATGGATAGTTCAGTATTTTTGAAGTGGGGTTGTATGAGGTACAAATGCCCCCTCAGTATGGGGGTGCCACACTTCAAAATACTGAACTATCCCTTTCATGTGTTTTCACCACATTAGTTAGGTTGACTGCATAACTTAGCAGTAAATTAGCTTGGTTAAGATAGCAAGCTAACGTTTTGCTAATGTTTCGTATGTGTCATTCATTCATTCATTCATTCATTGCAACGTTACTTCATGCAAGTACAGCCAGCCGCTGCCTCTTGTTAATAATAATCTCGAGATGAATGGCATCGAAGAATTACAAGAAGCAAGCAGCCCACACTGAAATGATTTTAGTTTGTTCAGTTACCTGGCTCGATTGCTGACTGCTGTCCACGCCTGCTTCGGATAGTCTGAGTGGCAGCCTGGCAGGTTCTCAAGTCACCCCACTAAACACTGTGCTTGCGTGAGTGCGTCGATCAAACAAGAGTACCAGAATTTGTATATTAAAAAAAAATAAAATAAAAAAAATGTTTTAAATAATTGTTATTATTGAGAAGAGAGAGTCACTCAATCACCTTCCATCGGTCCTCCCACCAATGAAATGGTTTATTTTTGTTTTCATTTTATTCATTCATTTAGGTCAGAAAAAAATACCAAGGTCATGACCTTGGTGTCCTCAATGGTAGTTACAGCCTTGAAACCTCAATCCCCATCTCAATCTTTGCCTTGTTGGGTCTTTGAATTTGAGGGAACAGGGCCTGAAAAGTCGTTGAATAGTCCTTGAATTTGATGTTTAAAGGCGCTGTATGTAAGAATGTGGCCAAAACGGTTACTGCACTCAAATTCAAAATACTGCCGCGAGTCGTGTCCACCCCCCCTCCCCTACAGATTCGAGGTTGCTGGACAGCGGCACGCTGGACACTGATTTGTTTGCCCACGGGCGGCCGCCGTGGCAGGGCCGTGTCGCCACGTCCGTGATCTTCGGTTTTCCAGCGGACCGTTTGAGCAAGTCCAGCTTCTCTGCTGCTAACGCTGCTGCCGGGATACGGCGGAGGAGCCGGCTGCTAATGTTATGTACCAGGACACTGCTAATGCTGCTTGCCGTGCTGCTGTAGCTCAGTCGTAACTTTAAGTGATGCTGAGACTCTACTGACTGCATGACTGGTAGACGGCGGTGGGTGGCGCAACAGGCCAAAACACAAATTCAAAACATAAACATGATTTGTGGACCGTAAAATATTTTTTTAAATGCTAATATTCTGGCCGTACTATTGTTGTCGGAGAGATCAGTATGTTATATGAACATTATTCCTTAGTCTCTATGACATATTAGGAGGATTTTATGACTATTTGCTTTAGATTTCTTACATATAGCTTCTTAAGAAGTTGTGTAAACCCTTAGTTAACGTGATGAGGCCATGGTAAGTATGCATCCATGTGTTAATGTTTCACTTGAGAAATCCAACTCTTATTGGGGTTTGTAATTTGCTGCCAGTACTTTAATCTTGTTTTTGACTGGCCTTCTCTGTGTGTTTTAGGTAAAATGTTTCCAACTATTGGTGACGTCCACCTGGCCCCCTTCACAGATGAGCAGCTCTACATGGAACAGTTCACCAAGGCTAATTTCTGGTGAGGAGGGAATGAAGCTGGAAGGGAGGGGTCACAGTTTACACCCAAAATAAGTTACATAATTTGACTAATATTAACCAGGTTGCAAAGGATAACTGTATTAGTACATTTAGGCTTGTCCAGGTGATTAGATTTATCCTGACTTGAAGGCATACCACTCCATAATTACTAGAACATGTTTTCAACTATTAATGTTTTGTGTTTGTTTTCTGAAATTTAAAACCAAGTCAAGCCTCGGTTGTCTTGCGCAGGAAATGTGTTTGTTGACAACAGAGAGGAAATCAGTGGCTCAGCAGAGTGCATTATAAATGTTTTTATCACAGGTATATTATTCAGCATTGTTTAATTGGTAAATGACAGTTAAGCATGTGTAACTGTTGGGCTTAGGCGTTAGCACCACTGAAGAAGTCACATACTGAAGTCTTCATTTGTCATCTTAAGCGCTCTGCGGATAGAAGTAGTATTACTGGTAGAGGTTTTCCATTAGCACTTTTGGCTGTGCCGAGTCAAACCATGCTGCGCCTCTTTGCGTTTCCCAGAGGTGGGGGACTCGAGTCACAAATTTGAGGACTTGAGACTAGCTCAACTACCACTGATGGAAAACTCGACATGACTTTGACTTGGTATTCATGACTTGAGGCATGACTTTGACTTGAGACAGATAACTTGAAAGGACTTGACTTTTTAAATTCAGTATCTGTATTTTTGTAGACATTGAGAAGTTGGGTTTTGTTTTTGAAATATGATGACACAAATGCCACAGCGGGGGAGGACCCACAGGCTGATATTCGTGCCCACGCTACAAGAGCTCTGACTTCCTGTTCACAGCTCTCCTCACAGAAAAGGCAATGTGTACAGCGGCATCACAAGCTTCACCGTGTGCTTTTATTCAGTTCTATCTGCGTGATTTGTGTGAGTTAAGTCAATCGGCATCGAACTTCCTTTGGAACCAGCAACACACTCAGTACATTTACATGCATGCAGTAGTCGAGCTAAGCTCATAGCTCGGCTAATCAGTCAAGTCGGACTTCTCGTCTTGTCTGAGTATACATGCAGAAGAGAAAATCGAATTTCTGACCAAGTACGTCTGACTCCGTCTCAATAGGCGGCGCTGTGTCCTTGTTAACATAGTGTGTATTGAACTAGTTCCGGTTTACCCGAAGAGGAAGCTAATGATGAAAGAAGATGGTGGAGCATAAATGTAGTTTCCTCGTCCATCCAGAAGTGCGTCCTCTACGTCTCAGTCGCCATGGTCTTTTTTGAAATTGTATTTTAATATTGAGAATTTCGCTTCGACAAGCTCTCTTTTTGACCATACACCTGTTTGCATCCCTGGTTAAAAGATTGAAATGAAAAAAGTAATCTTGCTTAAAATATTGAAGAAATGTGCCATCTTTCACGTACTGCCTTTTGGAAATTGTGTTATCTTGTACTTGCTTAGCTGTACATTGTAAACAGAATTTTGATCAGGGATCCAAACTTTTGCATGCGGCTTTATGATTCTGGACAGACATGCATGTTAACTGTAACTGCAGTTTGACTGGTTTGTGGAGGCATCCAACAGTGAACCAGTTATTCTAGTCCTTTCATATGAGATAATGAATGCCAAATAACCTAAGAGTTTTAATTAGGGCCATCGGTATTTGGTTCAAGTAGCTATGCTGTTATTGTTGTGTGTTCATTCTTAGTACATGCCAGGTAGTCACTGTTTGAGCTGTATACCACTGCAACTGTGTCCATCAGCATTTCCGAACACTGACTTATTAACAGTGAATACTCAAAAGAAGTCACAGCTTGTATGAAGCTATCACCTGTCCTTATCCCAGCCACTGGTGTTTGTTGTGTATTTTATGTTTATGCTTTTGCAGAGGTAGTAAATCAGCAAATCTGGATGAAGATCATGATGATACTGTTAAGATATTTTTGGCCACTATAAATCCCCAAAGGGACTGGGGAATCCAAATAGTCAATTAACTTTATGCATAAATAACTTTGTTGAATGGAGTCTATAACAAGTTGCATTCATGGCAGGCAAAGGGTTAATGTGTCCTCTGAAGCATGTGATTGGTCCAATATGTCCACTTGCAGTTGTCCTTTTTAACTTTTTGATTTGGATGTAAAGTGAATTGTGGCCCTCAGGTACCAGCCCTCCTTCCATGGTGTGGACCTCTCTGCCCTACGTGGAGCAGCAGTGGACGAGTATTTCCGCCAGCCAATTGTGGTATGTTTTCCAACGCATGCACACACACACACACACACTTATACGTCTTTACACTGGTTGGGGGAGTGTTGAATTTGCGTTGTTGTGCCACAGGACACATTTGACATCCGTATTCTGATGGCCAAGTCGGTCAAATACACAGTCAACTTCCTGGAGGCCAAAGAAGAGGATCTCTACAGGTGTGTGTGTGTGTGTGTGTGCGTGTGCATGTGCGCGCTGTAAATAGGTATATTAAATGATTAAATGTATGTGTAATGAATATGTGTCTTTCCCTGCATTTTCTTTGGCTCCCAGGATAGAGATTCCCTTTAAGTTCCACATGATGCACTCAGGCCTGGTGCACGGCTTGGCTTTCTGGTTTGACGTGGCATTCATGGGATCTGTGTAAGTCATCCACTCACTGATAGATACAATACCTCCAATTTGGATTTGGTCTGCACAATATGAGGAAAATCTATTTTATGTGCTAACATTGTGATTAATATGTGACTTGTGATGAATAAACAAATATTGAAAGGCATATTAGCCAGGGCTGGGTTAAAATATCAATTCAACAGATGTTAATTGATCTACATTTGAATGAATAGGTATTGATTTAATAAATCTGAGATCATCTTTTTTTAGGGATCCTCGGATCTGGTATCTGCGCCGATCACGTTATTTTTACAAAATCGGAATTGGTAAAAAGTGTGGCGATCCTGTATGTTTTATAAATATATATTTTTTTATAAGACAATCAGCTGATGGCTTGCTCACCTCCAGACACTGAGCTACCTCCAGACACACCCACCGGTGCTATCGCCAGTGGGATGGCTCGATCGTAGACCGGCCCGTACATTATGCCGCTCCTGGCAGTATGGCGAGAGTCGCCGGCGAGTGAGAAATGAGCCAGAAGTCCTCTGCGTATTTGGCCTACCACTGCATTTTAAACCGCTCAAAGTCCGCGAAATAGGTGCGCTTCCCTGTGGAATATCATCCATCCGGCCACTGGCCTCACCTCAGAGATTCCGCCACGGATATCAAGGGATCCTGCGGAGCCTCCACGCCCGAAACAACGCCAGAGCGTTACGGCATTCACATACGGTACCGTGAGTTGGCAAATGCCAAATGCCGGGGGTTACTTTCCGTTTCATTATTACTGATTTGGAACCTTCGGGCCGGGTTGATTTATTGTTTTGAAACTGACCTGAGTCAGAGCCAACAGTGGATTTTCTTTACCTCCTTGTTTACAGGAAAACCTGGGGTGGAGTTTTCTTTTGTTTAGCGAACTGTGTGGATTGAACTGAATTGAACTGTGATATGTTATTTGGATTTCCTGGAGTGGAGTTTTTTGTTTGAACTGGATTGAACTGACTGAACGGAACGGAGCATTTCTTTTCTTTGGTGAAAAAATATATACTTTCTTGAAACTGATGACAGTTCGCTGTGTTTTCGCTGTCTTTTGTATTTTTGAAAATTGAGTATAATTTAAAATTTTTAAAAACAATTTAATTTTGGTGTTAAGGGACCTGTTTTATGGGTTTTATGGTTTCTTTGTGGGGTTTGACTGAGTAAAAGAAAAATATTTGTTTCATGTGTCAAACCACTACAAAAGATATAGGCCTATTTTGTTTGTTGAAGACAAGAAGAAGATATTGAATTTGTTCACATTTTGTGCTGCTGAACCACCGATAAGCTTTTTGGATACTATTTAAAAAAATAACAAACCTTATGGGACAACTTGGATGCATTCTTTTTTTTTCTTTCTTAATGCTTATCGTATCGGACTCGGTTTCAAAATAAAGAACTCGGATCGGATGCAAAAAAAATGTGATCAGGTCATCCCTAATCTTTTTGAATTTGTCTTTTACTGTGGATGCGCGAAGCTGTAACCCTGTTAATCTCATTGATGTTAAACAAACCCTGGGGCAAAATTATTAAAGACCGTAACTCTAAGTGTTATATTGAAGGCAACTGGACTTGCTCGAGTTTCTTGAAGATGTTTCACCTCTCATCCAAAATGCTGACTCTGAGATTCAGAGTCGTAAAGGTCACACATCAGTCGTTGACCCACCCGGCCATCATGCGGGTTGTTAGGATGAGATGGGTCCAGGTGTGAATGGGTGTTGAGCTGTCTGGGGAGGAAACTCAGGACTGCATTGTAAAGCGAGATTTATGGTTGTGCGTAGACCCTACGCACGTAGCCTACGCACGTCACCTATGCAGTTGTGAGCATTTTTACTTGTACGGTGGTGTGTCTGTGTCACTCTGCAGTTACACCTCCAAAACACTGGTCGGCGGCGGAGGTTTCTGTGAAGTGCTGTAAAGTTTGGTTGATTCAAAGCACACATTAAACACGCATTAAACACACATTAACACACTTTAAACATGGCTTAATAGAGACAGTTTCAAACACAAGTACACAAATCAGCTTCCCTATAACTTGCAGCATTCACAGACAAACACTTGTGTTAATCCGGACACATTTTCCCCACAAATACAACATGCTAACGGTATTTGCACAAGCCTATGGCATTTTATATTGTATAAATTAGCCTAGCAACTAGTGATCTTTTCCTCTTCTCATATAAAAGTATAGTAGTATAGAAGTATAAATCCCTGAAGAATAAATCACACACAAGACTTAAAATGCTATTTTTGTGGAGGCTTTATTGTCTTCACAATTTATTTTTTCTTCTCTGTGAAATAAAAGTAAGTTAAAGCTTTGTTTCCACTGAGGGAAATGGTTTCAGCTTACAGAGACAGACAGGAGGTCTGCCTCACTGTGACGAGTAGTTACAATTCTGGGGAGGTACACGTCAGGCTACGGCATAGCTACGGCGTAGGCTCTACGTCGACATTGAGCCTACGGCGTATCAATTCAGTGCAGAAGTATAAATTGAAAAGTTAAAAGTGGGTGATAAGTGGTGTCATAGGCCACTTCTTCTGTTTAACAATGGCCGTTCCAGTTTGATGTAGATGGCTTCTGGCCAAGATGTGTACATTGCTGTACTCAAAAGAAATGTCCCCTCTCCTTTAGATACAGTATCTCACATAATTGAGTACACCCCTCCCATATATAATAATATTTTATTATATCTTTTCATGGGACAACAGTATAGAAATGACACTTTGATAAAACTTAAAGTAGTCAATGCAAGCTTGTATAGTAGGATAGATTTACCTTCCTTTGAAAATCACTCAAAACACAGCCATCAACATCTAAACAGCTGGCAACATAAGTGAGTACACCCCACAGTGAACATAGTGTCTTCACATCCATCTGCTCTATGATGTCATCATGGAGGAGTGGGAGAGGATTCCTGAAGCAACCTGTGAGCTCTGGTGAATTCCATGCCCAAAAGGGTTAAGGCAGTGCTAGATAGTAATGGTTGGCACATAAAATATTGACACTTAAGGCACAATTTGGACATGTTCACTGTGGGGTGTACTCACTTTTGTTGCCAGCTGTTTAGATGTTGATGGCTGTGTTTTGAGTAATTTTCAGAGGAAAATCTATACTAGTATACAAGCTGTACACTGACTACTTTAAGTTAAATCAAAGTGTCATTTCTATGGTGTTGTCTCATGATAAGATATAATAAAATATTTCCAAAAATGGGAGGGGTATACTCATTTATGTGAGATACTGTATAAATGGACAGCTGAGTTTTGACCTGAGGAGCTGGCTCGCCTATGCTGTGCCATGCGCTTGTAGAGTGGTTGTTCTGTTTCCCCAGTGTACAAATCTGTGCATTCCTGGCTGCATTGAACTGAGTACACTGTGTTGCTCTGCTTCTGCCTGGGTGTTGTGTCCTTGGGGTGGACAAGCTTTTGCCTCAGAGTGTTACTGGGTTTGAAGTTGCCTACAATATAGCATTTAGAATTACCATGACCTGGATTACTGAGACTATTAAAGACATTAGTATTGATAAATTCTTAGTTTATTGACTCTTTTATCTGTACTTCTTAACATTTTGGTTAGGGCTGGGCGATATGGAAAAAAGTTCATATCTCAGTATTTTCAGGCTGAATGGCGACACAATATATATCCCAGTATTTTGTACGAAGTGGGCTACATGTTCAGTTGCAAGCTGATCCATGGCTGTTTGCAGAGGTGCAGTAAGAGCCTGTTGTCTGCAGCTCTTCATCAACATCTCACTGTGGCTGATGTTGATTTTAGTCTTCCTCCCTGCCATGTTATTACACTTGCCTTAAGTGAAGAAAATTCGTTAATAAAGTTTTGCTAATTCAATAATAAACATATTGTAATTCCTTTATTGTGAAGCAGCAAAAAAAGGAAATGTTGAGTTTATAATAATATGGCTGATAGTGAACATGAAATGGTAAAATAAAGCAGATATCTAAAGTAAAAACAGGACACAGGAGAGTAACTGAACTCCAAAACAAAGAGATTCAGTTAGAAGCTACAGACGTACTGAGAGCTGAACACACAGAGACTTTTAAAAACACCTTTCTCTCTGGGCCCCTGCAGACAGAGGTGAGTGGAGTCTCACAGCACACACGGCTTGTTTGAGGGGGAGAAGCGGGGGGGTCGGTTGTTTCGGTCGGCTAGAAGTCACCGCTACCCACTTGATTGGCTCTCTCTTTTTTGACCATACAGCTGTTTGCATCCCTGCAAGTGTTAATGTAAGGCCCTGATGGCATGTGTAAATATATATTTTAAATTCATTGCATTTATGGTAGTCTTTTGCAATTTGTTGATGGTGTATGTTCATATTGTGATGATGATGAAAACCTGGTTTATCAGTCAGCACCGATGTGGAGTGTGCTGAATCTTAAGAAATGCCTTAAGAAAAGTCGTCCTACACAGTTGTTCTGACCTTCCACCATCGCTCTGCAGGATGACGGTATGGCTGTCCACTGCGCCCACAGAGCCTCTCACTCACTGGTACCAGGTTCGCTGTCTGCTGCAGTCGCCCCTCTTCACCAAGGCCGGAGATACACTGTCCGGCACTGCCATGCTGGTGGCCAACAAGCGGTATGCTACTTCTTTTTTCTTTTCTTTTTTTAACATTATTTTTTTGGGCTTTTTGCCTTTAATGGACACAACAGAGTGAAGATTGTGAACTGGGGAGAGAGAGAGTGGGGGGACAACATGCAGCAAAGAGTTGCAAGCTGAAGTCGAACTCGCGACGGCTGCAGTGAGGCATTACCTCTATATATGGGGTGCTGGGACTATCCACTAAGCTACAGACGCCCCACAGTATGCTACTTCTAAACTAAATGCTATAGCATGGTGCTCCACCTCTTACTTGTACTTACTACAAATGTAGGGCTACACGATATATCATTTGAACATCACCATCACAATGTTCGCATGTGCGGTAGTCACATTGCAGGACATGGGATGTTTTCTCTTTTTTTTTAGAACATGTAAACTTGTTTTGCTTCAGAAAAGCAGCTCTGAAGAAAGATCCTCGCTCCGCTCCGCTCGCCTCTCGCCGCAGCCCCTCCCCCTCTCATGCACACGCTGCAGTCACACACTGAAAATGATTGACATGCAAGAGGGAGAAACGGTAAAGGAGGATTTATGCTTGGTACACATTACAGGACTTTTCTGCCCATTCTGAAAGTCACTATGTCACATTACACGATTGTGCTGTGACTTGGCCGACAGACATGACACACTACACAATGGTACTCGCCAATTATCCCCAGTCGTCTTTCACGACGTGTGTGATGTCATCAGGTTATTCTTGTCCTATTTTTATTAGTTTTACTATTATTCCAGTCACTGTGTCTGTTCATGTGCTACCTGAAATGTTGTTGTAGTTAAAAAATTAAAAAAAAAAAACCCTAAAAAAACCTAAAAAGCGTCAGCAGATGGCAGGAGCTACATTTGAAGTACCGTATGCAAACATAAAAGTCACCGAATCCTCCACAGCCAAGTTCCTACAAATGTTTCACAATAAAAGCGTATTTAGAAAATGGAGGGATTCTCTCAGCCGAGGTTATAAGAGGCTTTTAATTTGAAACAAATTCAGGAAGTGTTGAGTTTGAAATGACAGCGCCATGCAATAACTGTCATGAAAACACAACTTTGACCATGTATTGATTTTTTTTTTTTTTTTTCTTTGGAGCTGGAGCTTTATTAGGAGCACTTTTTGGATTATATAAAGCCTACTGTTAAGTTACTCAATGTACTTGTACTCTGGGCAAAAGTTAAAATAAAACTTAACCATTTGTTGTGTTCGGTCTAAAAGTTTGGTTTCACTCTCAAACAGTTGGTCCTCTCATCCATCGATCTGATCTGATCAGCTGTGACCAATTATCCTTCCTGAAACTCGAAACTCCACAAACTGTTGGAGAGGGGAAAAAAGGAACAGAGAATGTTATAAAGGGAATGCAACTTTAGCACTGCACTTGATGAGAGAGTGGAAGTGAATGACACAGCACATTAGGCGGTCACAGCAAGAGACTGTGATTTGACTGTAAGGGAGGAGCTCTGCTTCTTATTAAAACCAATGCCTCAAACAACAAAAGGGGAGAACATAGCCAAAGTTTATTTGGAGCATTTTAAGGAGCGAGGGAATGACATATTGATATGGAACACTCATTAACAAGAACATTTAAAATGGCACTTCATACCAAAAAGCTGAACCCTGGCTAAACAAAATCACCAATTTGCATTTCCACATCATTTCGACAATATTTATTGTCAGGTTTCAACATACAGACACTGAACTATCTGTACCTTCAATGAAATCCTAAGTCCTAACATATCAACCTAAAGCCTGTATTTATATTTAACTTAAACAAAACTATTTCTTAAAAAAATAGAAAGTGCATTTTTTTTACCACTTTTTTTCTTTTTTCTTTATCTTTTTACACTTTTTTTCTGCTTTACCTAGAGAGAGAAATAGGCCTATGACTGTCCTGCCATGAGTTTGAATCTTGGCTTGAATGGAGTTAATGCTATTGTCATGCACATCTGTAGCTGTGCCTGGATCAGTACTGTGTTTTAATAATGTATATAGCTGACTGGCAGCAGTGAGACGATTCAGTTCCATTCAGGATTAATTTTGAAGCCCAACATCACAAATCACAAATAGCCTCTGAGGGCTTTTCAGCATAGGACATCCCTCTGTCCTTGGATCCTCACAGCAGATAAGGAAAAACTCCCGAAAAAATCTTTTAATGGGAAAAAAAAATGGTAACCCTCAGGAAGAGCAATTTCGAGGGATCCCTCCTCCAGGACAGACAGATGTGCAATAGATGTTGTGTGTACAGAACAGATCAACATAATAAATGTGCAGTGATCCATATGGCAAAATGATTCCGAGAGAGAGAGAGATGCACAGCAACAACAGTAATGACAACATCTGCAATAACAATGATTATAGAAATATGAATAATAATTAGGGCTATAGTCTCCTGGTTGACTGGTCCATTATTTGGTCGCTATGCTCTTGTCCGACCAAATTCTCATTGGTCGAATAATCTCCGTGTTACTTTCATAAGGAGAAAAGTGCTCCATCAACAGCTTTCCAGGATTAAACCTTTATTTCCTGTGGTGGAAGGGACAGGCTAAGGTACCTGTGAAAATGGGGGTGTTTTCAGAACACCACTTTGTTTACACAACGTTGAACTCGCCCACCCTAACGCTCAGCGTCGCAGTGACACACACCTCCTATATGTGTGTATATAT